ACCTAGAAGGGGGAAAAAAAGTGTGTGCGTGTGTAAATAAAAGGACTATGGCTTCATGTGTTTAACTAATAGCGTTACTAAAAAAAACACATAATGAAGCTTATAACAGTTTGAACTTCGATTAGTTCGGAAACCAGGCATTAATCTCCAATATTTATTCAGAATTTATATATACGGCTGTGTTGTCTTTGAAGCTGAATTTAAGGGTAAATGCGTATAAAAGATTCTTGATTGCAGATTGACCTGTAAATCTTTTTTTTCTTCGCAATTTAAAAATATTCATAAAACATCATTTGTAATATTTCAACATCAAAAATAAAAGGCTTACGAAAATTTATCTAAAATTCTGTACTAAATTCTATATAAAAGTTTTTAAGAATAATTACAGTAAAACTTTTCCACCAAATTCTACGTGTGTATAAATTCAGAAGCATCTGGAAAACTTATTTAAATAGCTATAAGCATTTATCTACAAAGTTGGTAAATCTTCAGAAAAAAAAATATCTCGAAACTCTTACAAAATGTCTGAAAGAGTATCGAAATATCTATAAATTTCATTTCCAAAAATATAAATTAAAAAAAAATTACAACACACGAGAAACCGGTTGAAACTGTAAAACAAAGTAACATAATCAATACTTTTATACAGAGTAGGGAGAAACCTGTTTTAAAGGTTGACACTATTTAAACTGATGTTTTTTTTAAATGAATGTATATAGCGTTACTAAAACGTTTAGTGGTTTATATATGTAAATTATAAACACGTGTGTGTGTGTGTATGGAAGTATTCATTGTAAATTTAACATATCTCCAGTTCTAAACGATATAGGATATAAACACTTGAGTTAGCAGAAGCAAACGGTTTCTGAGCATACCGTAAAAAAAAAAGTCCTGCAGAAACTCGAGAAAGTGCACACTGACGTACGCACGAAGATAGGTTAATTCTTGCTGTTATACATACCTCTATATAGAAGCCTGCCATCTCTCCAGTGAATTCGTCTTTCACTGTGAACATCTTTGTAGAACCCCGAGGCTTGATTCCAATGGATAAGATTCGCACTACTCCCATCGTTGGTTCATGAAAATGTCACTTGTCATAAGAACAGGCTGGGCTCAATTGATTAATCAATGCAGCAGGTGCTGACGTCATATACGAGAATATTCATTAGTGTTTGTGTAGCGTGCCCCATCTGTATGCTCTTGTTTATGTGAAACGTTCTTTATATATTATAAAAGGTATATATATATATATATATACCTTTATAATTTCATTTTTTAATTACTTCGGGAGCTTCACACAGAAAAGGACGTGGGCTCGGCTACAATGTTGAAGCACAGCAGAAATAAGAAGAACAAAATACGTTCAATATAGTAGTGGTAGAAAAAACACGTGAAATAATCCAATTCAATTCGTCCACGAATCATCGCGACCCAATAAAACTGAGTAAGGGGCTATCTAAATGCTCCGACATGAGTAGAACGACTGATCGTACGAGATATCTAAAAATTGGTCAACACGTTGACAGTCTCCCTATATATACATGCGATTTACCTGTTTCTGTTATTAGTGTTTCTACCGATAGGAGCTTTCCGACACGAACGCGTCACGCTGTCGAACTTTGCTAGTACTTGCTCTTACAGAGTTCTTGCAAGAGTGCATAAAATAACACTTGATGCAAGAAAGGGGAATATAACTCAAATGCTAAACACTTTTGATGCAAAAGTTGTAATTCAACTCAATAACTGCTACACACTGAATGTATACTAAAGTACGAACAGCTATAACTTAACAGCAACAAAAACAGATAAGTTAGCGCAAAAACTACTCGATATTCATGATGCAAGAGAAGATGATATAAACCGAATGTAAAACGCTTTTGATGTAAGAGGGAGTAATTTAATTCAAAACTGCTAAACTTTATTCAAATGGAGTCGATTTAATGCGACATTAAGAAATAATTTTTGGCGTAAAACTATTAGCGTGCTGGACTGTGGAGCTGAGGTTCAGTGGTTCTCGTCCCTCTACGCAAAAAAGAAAAGAAAAAATCTCGCTCCACAATTTGGGGCCGTAGGTGCGTTATAGTAGTGAATGTCAAATACCATTATTCGGTCTGTCAATAGTAGCCGAAGAATTGTAGATGGGTAGGTTTGACTAGCTGCATTCCATATATTCTGTTATTTTAAAAGGAGGAAAAGCTAGCGCAAATACCACTCACTCGTGTGGTCTTGGTCGAAATCTAGCAAACACACTAATCTTGACAATCGCTAAACATTGTTGATACAAAAATATTTAAATACTACACACTTGGCGCAAAGAATATAAATAAAACGTAAGAACTGTTATTGTTTTGATGCAAGAGCAAGTAATTGAACTTGACAATCACTACACCTTCAATGATTTAAAATACGTTGAATAACGTTATAACCATTAGGCATTATGTTTGAAAGAGTAGGTAAGTTAATGCAACAATTAATATAAATATACAGATCGATAGTTCTTGTGATATTACATACATATTATTTACTTTATATACTATCAATATACAGCTTCCCAGTCAGAAGAATAAAGTAGCATTACAGTACCTTATGTGCTACACGCCGCTGCTTTCGCGTCGATACCAGATCTCATCAGCTGGCTCGGTTGAAATGTTATTTGAAGTCATTTCCGAGATATCGGCTCATATCGTGGCGAAGCGTAATCTACAGATCAGCACTGAAAAAAAATCAACTCGAAGTTTAATCTATTTTTCGATTCGCCACTTGTCACTGAGTTGTACCGGCTTCAGGGGAATCCCCCCCCCCAGTAACAATGAACAGGAGAAAATTGAAAGAATATAAGCTTAGATTGGGCTTCGCGTATATTTTTAGTGTTTAAAACAACTCGTCTGCTGAATAACTTGAAAGAATGCATCTGTATTATTAGTTGATACATATTCTATAAAGTCTTTAATCACCGAAATGAGTAAAAAGCAACTCGAAACTCCATACAAATACTATAGATAATTATTTTGTGTGATTATTACATCACAATGAGACTGACAATTTTTAACAGTTATCGACGCGTGCGGTTGAAACGCTGATACATTTTCTCTTACTGAGAATGTAGAGCTAGTAAAACAAAAAAAAAAAACGATTTGTTTAAAATTTTCACTGTTGTTCTGATGTGACGCCACACAAACCACCCATCTGTTAGATCACGGCTCGCCAATAGAGGCGTTACATAACCGTATTAATTAATTACTATATACGACGTGTAAGTTACATTAATAAGAGAGGTAGGTTCTTGCAAAGTCTCATCCACTAAGCGGTAAGGAAACGTTGTCTATTATAAAGAGTTTACTAATACTAGAAAACCAACAAGATTAGTATACCAATAGTCAGACTTTTGTATTCTAAATACATACAAGAAATGCAGAATTGCTAAACATTATTGTAAAAAAATAACTGTAAAAGTAATAAATAAATTGATAAAGGATTATTCATATTATAAAGCCATGAAAATCTTTCCATCAAATGCATTGAATATTAAACTTAATATATAATAAAAAAAAAAATAAACTATATTACTAGTTGAATGACATTGTTGATTCTAAGACAAAAAAATAATTAATCAATCAATCACTAAACACTTTGGATATAAGAAATCTTAGTAAATTGACGAAACAAGAACTTAAATGTTTTGTTGAAAGTAAGTTCAGATATAATGTATCGGTTGCAATATAGCTTGAAATCAATATCTGCTGGATATCTAATTTGAATACATTTTGCAACGAATCAATTAACTAATACCTGTGGGCTGTTTTGTTATCTTAACGCAAATGATTTAATTTAAGTTGACGTAATATTTGAGGGCGGACATTAGTACATGGCTGAATTATTCACAATTAAGCACAATTTTGATACAGCCTGTTTTAGTAATATGTAGACCATTAACTTTATTTTTTTAATTTGAAATTCTCCTGGTTTGCCTTGTTCTAATTGCACAACAACATAAGTACACTTTACTTCTATGCTAAGTACCTAAAAATTACAAATAGAAAGGAAAAAGACGTAGATTCAGGTATTCTTTTACTTACTCGGATAACGCTGAATCTTCGGTCAGTTTAACGTATTAAAAAGAGAGATGGGAGTTATATAAGTATCCACTATGTTCTGATTATTAGAGAAGTATTTATAAGTATTAGTTTTGAATAACATACTAGTTTGTTTGTTAAATTTCGCGCTATTCGAAAGTTATCTGCACTGATCGTTCCAATTCTGAAGCGATAGAGGGAAGGAAGTCAGTCAACAGCACCCTCCGCCAACTCTTGGACTACAATTATGAGACAGAATATTTGGATTTGACCGTCACTCTTATAACGCACCCACATCAAGTCTCAAGGTGCAGAGCGTATATACATATATTGTGGTAATGAGGCGCTAAACTCAGCCCCACCATTCAAAAGTTCGAACGTTAACATCTGTTCGATTTACCAAAGATACCCCAGTGCTTAATCCTAGAGTGTCCGATTCACCATTTTGATTAACTGATTTTCAATTATTATTTTTTGTAAAATAAGGAAAAATTAGAATTTCAATATATTTAAATCCTTTTATATTATTAAAACACGCGACACTTTACTGACTTGTAAGTTGAGCTAAAATTCAAAACAAAACTTGTAATTAGTTGTTCGAAAACTTCAAGCGTTAAGGAGCTGTTAAAAATAACATATTGGCGTTTTGGGTATTAAACATTAAAATAAAACTTAGCGCCATATTTTGTTTTCGTTAAAAGCATCGCCCTTCAGTACAGTTGCTGAAATAAATATTTCTGTGGGGTGTATATTAAATTCTGAATCTTATTGTGATGTAATCAAATAAATAATTTGTTGAAAGTCTTGTTATATAAACTGCTGTTAAATTGTAAACCTTCAAATCTTTAAATAGGCATTTCAGTAATTTTATAATGTATTTACTTTTTAAAAGAAAAGTAATTTTCAATCGTTTTTTTTTCTTTCTAGTTTCTGAAAAAGAGATAAAACAGTGGTAAGTTGTATTTTTTTCTGATTTAAATTTTGTTAAGTAAACAAATCTCACACTTTGAAAATCAGCCGATAAAAATGGATATTTCTCAAGTACAAAATACTGTTAATTTGGTTTGTTATAAAACGTTCCGTTAGTCTTAGGAAAACTGATGCACTAAATTTGACGGGATGTAACAATTCAATGCGTATTGAGAATCGTATTTAATCTTACTTTTAACGTTCGCTTACTTCTGAAATGTATAAATAATAAATGTTTTGTATGCCATTAGTCAAGAGAGACGAGTTTTAAGGAAGTTTAAATCCATCATATTTAGGTGAATGTTTATTTTTTTTTTTCGTAATCTTCACCTGGATACAAGTACAACAAAAACTAAGTTGTCTAAGTATTAGCACAACACTAATTTCATCTTGTCTGTTATTTGTTGTTGCTTCAGCATTAGCCTCAAAGTGAGAAGCCCAAGAAACGTTACTTCGAGAAATAGTTTTACAAATTATCAATATTGGTTTAATCTTATGAATATAAACAGAATTCCTAATTAATGAATGCCATTTAAACATTCTACTTAATATTTTTTTTTTTACAATAAGCAAAGTAAGCACTGAAAAAAAGAAGAAAAAAGGTATCCCATATTCTTCAATTGAATAGGATGTGAATTGGCTATTCACTAAGCCTAATACTCAAATTAACGTAAGAAACGTTGATTTAAAGAAGAAAAAAAAAACGAATGTTTCTAAGTATTATGAACATTTTCCTGTTATGTCTGTTTAACCTTCCATTAATTTTTCATATAATAATTTCAAGAAAATTGTTTTAGTCTAAAGATTTCCTTCCTTTTAGATAATAGGTGGTGTCTTGTTACTTATATTTAATTATAAACATGTTCAAAATTATTTCATCTTAAAACTACTTGCCCTAGGGAACAAAATGTCACTAGTCACACTGATAATCATAAATTTCATTCAGGAAAGTTTGGACATTGTACAAGGTATTTGAAAAATATATTATAGTGCATAACAAAATCGTTTATATATTTAAAATCACGTTGGTGATTTGAATAAAAACGTGTATCAGTGTGCAGGATAAAGGACCAATGAACACTGTCCAAACAGTGCTTGCAGTTGTGTTGTTTAGGAATGACCTTGATAGACTGACGAAAAGTATATTGAACATCTTCTGTGACCTATTTTTGAAACACCTTGTACCATGTCCAGAGTATGTTGCTGTAATTTCTCGTTATCATTTTTCTAAACACTACACGTTTAAAAGTAACTCAGAAATGTTTTGTATCGGCTTGATTTTTCCGGTGTGACTAAACCTTTCGAAAATATAATTGCCCTATTTTGTTATGAAATGTACCATCTGTATTCATTCATTTAGATTTAATAAATGTGATTAGTTGTGTTAATCATTTTATTCATTACTTTAAATTTTTTTCTCACGTGATTGCTAATGTAATAATAATAATAAAAAAACGCAAGTTTGTTCGTTGGTAATTTTTAGAAATTATTTTATTCATTGTTTTCCAAAACTAATAATAATTACTTTACCTACTGATTGCTTTTAATCTTAATATTTCTCATTTTATTCTCAATATTTACTTTTAATAAGATTTCAGTTATTTTATGATTTCGAATAAAACACTTTTAATTTCCTCCCCATAAGCCAAAGTAGAATGGCTGAAAAAAATTTACTGACACTTTTACAGATAGTTGAGTCGTATCCTTTATAAAGTTTGAAACATGATTATAGTAAAGAACATAAAATATAATACACTTAAGTTGAGTTTTAACCTCATAAAAAAAAAATTGTTTAAAAAGCAACACGTCTAATTGAAATGAATGTAATAATATAAAAAAACAATTTAAACGAAAAACCTTCTGAGATGTTAACTGTATTATCTAATAATTATTAACATTCATTTACAACTTGTGTTCTTTACATTTTAAATGTATTAATAAAATGTTTTTATGCATTTAATTGTGTTGAAAGTATTTCATACTTTTGCAAGTATATAATGTTCTATTTCCTGTGTATTTTATTTCCAATTTCTTGAATTATATCGAATACACGTTTTTTTTTCCTTCCAGGTACAAAGGCTTTTTGAAAGACTGTCCTAATGGGCAACTTACAGAAGAGGTCAGTGACGTAACGTATCATAGGCAGATATGACTGCCTTTAAAATTTGACATTGATAGACGAATTTTGTAGATTTCAAGGAATAATCTTCTCATTAGTTTCCAAACAACCCAAAAAGAAAGTGTCTGTGTATGTAATTTAATGTCTGTGTATTTTATATTATTTTCTTGATAATAAATTTCATTCTGGAACTGAAGCATAAAATATTAAGTTTCGTTTTTGTAGGGGTTAAGCATTTGTGCAATAGAGACTTTTGAAAAGTGCCAGTGGATCGATCCTAATAATAATAAAAGCATAGTCAACGCTGTAAACATTTCCAAACTTAATTTCTATTCCAATGGAGTTTGCTACTAAGGTTGGTCGGTGTTACAACTTGATTTCGAAACTCGTAATGGGGAGGGGTCTGAAAATAGTAATTGATGACCACTCAAATGTCGAATATATAAGTGTGAAATGAAATTATGTCACGTGCAATACTGTACTCGTGAATAGAAATTTTGAACTATATCAACATGTCTGTAGAAGTCGTTAAACGCAAATTAATCGTAAAATCAAATAGTAAGTCGAAATTCAGATAAATAATCATTATTCATATATTTTTATTTAATCTTAAAAGTAGAAAAATAATGGCACGCTGAAATTTTAGTTTGTAACTAAAGGAGGACTGGCGAGATTAGGGATCAAAAGTCAATGTCGCTGTTAGTATTCAAGTATTACTGGCGAGATTAGGGATCAAAAGTCAATGTCGCTGTTAGTATTCAAGTATTACTGGCGAGATTAGGGATCAAAAGTCAATGTCGCTGTTAGTATTCAAGTATTACTGGCGAGATTAGGGATCAAAAGTCAATGTCGCTGTTAGTATTCACGTATTATCTCATTTAAATACATATAAAAAAACTAGTTTTTCACACAAAGTTCAAGTTAATGAGGTCAACAGAAACAAAATAGCGGACATTTACGTCTTGTCCAGAGAAGATGCTGTGATTTATGAATATTTTGTGATATGCAAATAAGATTACCATAAAAAAATGTTATTTGATTATAAAGAAATTTCCTGTATATTATGATCTTGTTTGAATATTTTGAGTTTTTACAGTATTATTTTTGAAAAAAAAAATTGAACTTGTTACTAAAAAAAAAGTGAAAAGAAAATGCAAATTTCCTCATTATCTACTATAACACCAAATCCACATTTATGAGTGTTTGAACTAGCTTTAGTAGAAAAATATCATCATATAATACGGGGGGGTGGGGGAGCATGGCCAGGTGGTTAGGGCGCTTAACTCGCAGTCTGAGGGTCGTGGGTTCGAATCTCCGTCACACCAAACATGCTCGCCCTTTCAGCGTTATAATGTGACGGTCAATCCCACTATTCGTTGGTAAAAGAGTATCCCAAAAGTTGGCGGTGGGTGGTGATGACTAGCTGCCTTCCCTCTAGTCTTACACTGCTAAATTAGGGATGGCTAGCGTTGTAGCGTGTAGCGTTGCGCGAAATTCAAAACAAACAAACAACCAAACAAAATAATACGGGGGGGGTGTTTCCTATTTTAAAAAGTAATAATTAACTAACTATAGAAATACAACCATGCAGTTTTCAACATCTTGTAGCCCAACTCAAACAGCTTTTATTGATTTATCAGTAGACTTTTACGTGTGCACCATTATTAGCTCTCGACACATCTGACCAATATTCGATTTCAGTCCACGTTTGCTTCAACATATACACAGTTACAGTGGCGATGGCGTCCGTTGTCCTGGGTTTTAGCTCCGTGATGTTTGCTATAAGTGTGCGATATACGATATCCGTACATTATCCCCAAACTTCTTTATTTACTGGAAACTGTAATTATGCTGCACCACAGTCACAGACTTGATTTCTGCAAGCCAAACAACACATTGAGCTTTTTCTTGCTCAGTTGACATTTTACGGGGTAATACTACTCACTGGAGTGAAAAAAAACAAAAAAAATGTTTTAGCTGGGCTACAAGATGACGAAAACTGTATGGTTGTATTTCCTTAGTTATTTAATTATTAAATTTTAAAATAGGGAAGATAATTTTGAACCACCCTGTATTTCATGGCACATCAAACTATCTAAGCAATACAAATTAAAGAAGAGTTGAAATATGGGGTTCAAAGGTCAAGAAACACGTGCGAGTATAATGAGGCAAAATGATCTAGTGCTGTGGATGTGAAATGAGTTGAATTGGGCTATTCGAGAAGTGTTCTCAAGTATATGGTCGTGTTTTATTCTTGTTACATGTTATATAATGCATGAAATGAATCTCATTTCATTTGGGAGATACTTTGGGGTCATAAAAGTAACTACAAACCTGTTTATTGAGCAACTTTTTAGTTTTTAATGATTTTTGTACTGTAAATGTTTATTGATTTTACCAATTACTTTATTTTAAGAGCTCTTTCTAGTATTTAATTTCTTCAGAGTTTAGACCGTTAATTATGTGCGCGTGTGACACTAATGTGACTGAGACTTTTATAGAAATTTCTACTATAAGTTTATTTCTGTTATTAGACTAGATCTCTTGTTTCGTGTCTCAAATGTATATTTCCAAAGAAATTAAAACAAGTTTGCTGGTATCAATTCACGACAGGGTTTTCAGCGGATCTACAAACAGTTTTTTCCACAAGGCGACCCTGCTAAATTTGCTTCCCTAGTGTTTGGAGTATTTGATGAAAACAAGGTAAGAAGTCGGTGTCATAATTGTGTTTTATACAACGTTTAAAAACCCTATATTTCTGGGCACTACTAATAATAAAAAGTATAATTGTATTAATGTGTGTTTTATAAAATGGCCCAAAATGAACTTTTCGGCCAAACTGAATTCTTGAAATATTTTCGACACATGTGACAACTCCCACTTGTTGCATATTTCAGCGTAACGTGAAATATTATCCTAATATATTTTATTGCGTTGATTCAGCTTATTTTCTTGAATCGCGAACAAAATTTGCTGTAGAATATTAGGCTTATTTTACTATATTATTCAAATTAAACTAAGTACACTGTATTAGTTGATATTCATACATTATCCTAGTCTGTTACGTCAGCTTATTTTCCTGTATTATTCCTGTTTAATCTAATATATTTCTTGCAAAGAAAAATACTTCATTTTGTACTTATTTTAAAAGAGGTTCTTTTTATCAGTATTTACTAACTTTCATTTGTTTTTCTATACAAATTGGTTTCTTTCATCTGTTCATCCCTATTTTTGTAATGTTTTACTGTAACAGATTTTACAATATTGATGTGGGATTAGCCGACATAAAAGCAAGCGCATACAATATTCCATTACCTCTTTACTTTTATTAAAAAAAATAAAATTACTATTAAAAATGTCTGATACTTATAAATCCTAGGACGGAACAATTGAGTTCGAGGAGTTCATCCGGGCCTTGTCTGTGACATCACGCGGGAATATGGACGAAAAACTTGTTTGTGAGTAGATATACGTACAATATAAAAATTGTTTATAAAGCGATTATTTTGTGATATCTAAAAGATAAATGACGTGACTAATTTTATATTTTTTTAATGAAAAATTTGTGTAAAACTCTGTGGAGTAGACTCGCTAATTTTAACTTTTTTCTTCTCTTTTGTGCGGATTTGGGAGATGGTGTTCCTTTATGGTTAGCGTGCTGAACTGTAAATCTAAGGACCCAAAGTTCGCGTCTCGTAATCAGTAAATCGTGCACCACACTTTGGGGCTGTGGGGAGGGGGTGCGTTATAACATTGACAGTCATATTTCAATATTCGATTAGAGTAGCCCAAGAATTGGTGGTGGATGCTGTTCCTTTCTCTCTAGTCTATCATTTCAATAGTTAGCTTTTGAGTAGTTTTGCGCGAATATCATAAACAAACGTATATCGAAACCAAAACCAAGATGTCTAGTGTGAAATTCAAAATTAAGGCCACTAATCATAGCAAGTTTCAACTATATATACTTATCAGAATCTCATAAATAAAACTATATATATATTGGTAATAGCGTTGGTAATATTCCGTCTACAAGACATATTTCCAACCACTCTTTCCTCCCACAAAAAAGAATAACGAGTTAGAATATTTGGAGTTTCAATTGGGAGTTAGGTATCGGGTCCACTACGTCCCAATACCTCCTCCTATTCACAGCCCTAGCCAGATATTTCGGTTTTGGTTTTATTTCTGATTTTATCGTTTATTTACAATAGATGCGACTTCTAGTATTAGGTCAGCTTTATTTACTTGTACATCGATTTAATGAATACTTCTGTAGACTGCTTTGAAATATAATTTTCATCTACGTAAAAATGTTGTCGGTGTAAAAACTGTTACAATTAAATGTTCCTAGACATGTGTGTACAGACTGTTCTAACTATGCATAATCGACACACTTAAAAACGTTGTCAGTTTCTCAGGTGTTACTTTATCGAAGGTCAGCCAGCTCGCAGACATCTCAATATCCGTTGTTACTCATGCTGAAAGCCAATAGTGTGATTCAACCTGGTATTGAAATACAGACAAAAGTGCCTTAAGAGTATTTGTGAAAAACAAAGAAAAATATAATATCGTATATAATAACACTTGGTGAAGTTCTAAGCTTTTTTCACTATCTTAGTTTATTCAAGACCAAAATACAGTTTGTAAAATGTTAGGAAGAAAGTAAGTGAAAAAAAAACGTACAAGACTCTCGGATATTCGATTCTGATTGTTGTATACGCAAGAGTTGTTATTATTTTCGGAATATATCATAAAAGAAGCTTTAAAGCTATTTTGAGGAATAAGTTTATATAAACATGACAACGAAGATACCAGTTTATATTTTTTGTTTTTACAGTTCTGCAACATGGTTGTTTAACAAGCTTTTAGGTATACGTCTACGCCAGTAAGCTATAAATTGACTCGAAACTGCTATATATTTCCTCACTTATTTTAATGTGCTTCTTTGTAAAAACGTGGGGTCTGGAAAAAGTAGCTAATTTTATACACGTATTAAAAAAAAATTGTAAAGTAGAAGTCTTCAATAATGTTTTTTTTGTTTTGTTTTGTAGAAAGTGAAAACAATTAAAAATAGATTTATTTGAGTTTATTAAATAAAGTGATTGTTTGAGCTTCTCTATAACATTTTGGGGCCGAGTGTGCCCTATTAGTTAACGCGCCCTGACTGTGAACCCGACGAAATTGTTATTCGCGACCCATTTCCATAAACCCGCTCTGTAATTTGTAATTAGCCCCGCGCCCAACCCTCCTCCTTTCTCATACTGGACTTGGGACCAGGCAAAGGCGGAGGTTGGCATGTTTGGTGTGACGGGGATTCGAACCCACGACTCTAAGATTACGAGTCGAGCGCCCTAACCACCTGGCCATGCCGGGCCTCTAGTGAACATTACCTGTAAAAACCAACCTGCTACAAGTAACTGCAACAACAACTTCCGTTGGGAGGTGTTG